CCCCAAAACCCCAAAACCCCAAAACCCCAAAACCCCTGATTCAGGAATAAAAGATATAAAAGATATGAACAATATATATTAATTGAGTAAACAAGCAATAAATTAAGACCTAAAAACAGCTCCTCTCATTGCTTTTATTCTTCCTGTTCCTTTTTGGCGGCCTTCTTTTTATCATCTTTCTTCCAGAGATCACTTTCTAATATGCTGATGAGTTCAACGTCATTGACTTTCTTTTCAGTCTCGAATCTCTCAACTGGGATTGGTAATTCACCTGCAAGTACTATAGTGCTTTTTGGTAGAACTGCGATGGTACATTTGAATTAGGCTACAAATTCTCCAGACTTTTCGACTAAAACTGGATAACCAGTTAAAAGATCGTGAGATACACATTCCTTAACTCCAACTTTGGCACCAGTTGAATCTTCAAATGATCTGATTGAAAATGGAAGAGTTGGGTACTTCTTGCTGACTTCAGCGAAGAATGCTCTAGAACTCTTGATTTTAAGATTATATTGGGTGTCTAATTCTCTCTTGTAAACAGTGGTTCTGTAATCACCCTCCTTAGGCTTGCCCTCTCCTGATGAGACATAGACATCAAGACCAATAACATCACCTGGAGCGAATTCGAATTCCTCAACCTTTTGCTCTGGGGTTTCTTTGTTGATGATAACATCATTACCATCAATCAAGTGCTTCTTCATTTTGTGGGAAAGAACACCTTCAACTGGATTTACTCCGAATTCATTGGCAACTCTAGCAATGGTTTGGGTAACTTTGGTATTTGTTCCTTGCTCCTTGATGAGTCTTTAAGCAGCTCTGAATGCATGATAAGCAGCGAGTACTGTTTCAGCTCTTCTGCCAGTAACCTTTGCTGAAGCATCTCCTAGAACTACAACAGTGTGAGCAGCTTGAGCGACAAATCCATCGAGATGGCAACCAAGATCAATTTTAGCTACATCTCCATCAGCAAGTTGAGTTGATTCGTCTTGCATTGGGGAATAATGTCCCATAACGTGATTGACTGAAATGCATGTTGGGAATGCAATTCCTCTCTCAAGCTTCTTTGATTTCTTGTTGTTGAAAACTTTTCTCAATTCCTCCTCCATAAACTTATCAGTCTCCTGACAGACTGTGTAGATATCTGCACCTACAACACACAATGATAATGCTTTTTAAAGAGCGGCGTTAGTAACTTGAGCTGCAGCCTTATATTTATCCAAGATTGCTGGTCTTTCAATGAAGTTCTCATCCTTGAATTCTTCCTCGCTTGATGCTCTTTCTCTGGCCTCTACCATATTCAATACTATTTGATAAACTATATATTAATAATTAATTTTACCCTTAAATTCAATTTTAAGCTAATAATTGCTGTTTGGGGTTTTGGGGTTTTGGGGTTTTGGGGTAAAATCAAATA